GGAGGAGGAGGAGGAGGAGGAGGAGGAGGAGGAAGAGGGCACGGAACCGCTGCGCCGGGGACTTTGCCGGGGGCCGCTTCGCAGGCGGACCGCCTTGCCAGAGCGAGGGCGGGCCGCGTCGCAGGGGCCTCGCTTCGCCGGCGGCCCGCTCACGCCTGGCCCCGCGCCTCGAGGGCAGCTGCGCTGGCGAGCCAGCAACATCCAGGGGCAACGATAGGGGAGGATAGGCACAGGGGGGGACGCATCGACCCCCAATCGCCCATTGATCGCCGATAGGGGCCCGATAGCCTCAGCATGCACAGGAAGGTGCGGACTCACTATCTGAGGCCTATCGCCGATCTATCGGCGATGTATCGCCGATTCCAGGTCGATGCATCCCCCCTATGCTTGTCCCCCCCGATCGTTGCCCTTCAAACATGGCACACACTCGCGGGCGGGACGGTCGGGCGGACCCTAACCAGACCAGCCACAATTGGGGGAGCTGGGGCCCTCACCCCCCTGGAAGCCCATCGACCTCGGCGTCCTTTTGTCGAGACGTCCTCGATACGGTGGCTTCCCCCAGGGGGACAAGGACTACAGCTCCCCCAGTTGTGGCTGGTCGGCTGACCAGGCGGCCAGCAGGCCTGGGCGAATCGGTCCAGGGCGAGGCCGTCGGAGCGGAGCGGTCCTGCTGCGCGAGGCGGTCTGGGGCGATCCTGGCTTCAGATCCGCCGTGCTTTGGTTGATTTCCCAATTAGGTTTTGTGTCGAAAATGCACCCCAAGCGTTGCGAGAAAGCGAGGCGGCCGAAATTTTCGCATCAGAGCCAGTAGGAGGACAAGGAGAAGGAGGAGGAGGAGGAGGAGGAGGAGGAGGAGGAGGAGGAGGAGGGGAGGCGAGGAGGAGGAGGAGGAGAGGGAGGAGGAGACGAGGAGGAGAAGGAGGAGGAGGAGGAGGAGGAGGCAGAGGAGGAGGGAGGAGGAGGAGGAGGAGGAGGAGGAGGAGAAGGAGGAAGAGGAGGAGGAGGAGGAGGAGGAGGAGGAGGAGGAGGATGAGGAGGAGGAGGAGGAGGAGGAGGAGATGAGGAGGAGGAGGAGGAGGAGGAGGAGGAGGAGGAGGAGGAGGAGGAGGGAGGACGACGAGTGCAAGCCCAGTCCTCATCAACGATATTGCAATAAACCCTCACTCCAGGTTCCCTCATCATAGGCCCTATACAAGGGTTCGTTTCCATTGAGGGAAATGCCCCACTGGAAGACAACCGAAGGAAAATCCGGAACTGTGCCAAGACACCGGGCTTTCAAGCCGCGAATATCAATTATTGTTGCTGTCTGACGATCCTGAACCGGCGAATCAGTGTGATTGCTGCTCCCTGACATCCCGACATCGTGCCGCAACTCATTCTCTGACACGTCAACCATAACAATCCTCGATATTGTTGCAACAAATCTTAGGACGAATGCGCGCGGTGCTAAGGCGAGAGCCACATGTTGAAAAGGAACCGCCCTCCATCCGTAAAACTCGTGCGAACTTTTACCATCAATGTTCGCGGCGCTAAGACGAGAGCCCCATTTTGAAAACGGACCGCCCTCCATCCATGAAGCTCGTTCCAACTTTTCAGAACGATTGCTCGCTGGCGTTCAGACGAGAGCCACATTCTGAAAACGGACTGCTCTCCATCCGCGACGCTCTTGCAATTTTGTAGGACGAATGTGCGCGGCGCTCGGGCCAGAGGCATATTTTGAAAACCGGCCCGCCCCCCCCATCCGTGAAGCAACTGCGTAAGGTTAAGACGAATGTCCGTGGCGCTAAGGCGAGAGCCGCAGTTTGAAAACCACTCTCAGTCCACCCGTGGAACCGTCGCAAGTGCCAGGCTTCAGGATCATACATGGTAAGGTCAAGCGGAACGCCTGGCCCGCCCGTTCGACCGGCCTCGGGGTGCGACAGGGAGGCGTTATTTGCAAGGAGGAGGGATGGAGGAGAAGGAGGGAGGAGGAGGAGGAGGAGGAGGAGGAGGAGGAGGAGGAGGAGGAGGAGGAGGTGGAGGAGGAATTGGAGGAGGAATTGGAGGAGGAGAGGGAGTCAGAAGAGGACGGGGAGGTTGGCACAGCAGGAGGAAGGACAATGAGGAGGAGGAAGAGGAGGAGGAGGAAGAGGAGAAGTAGGAGGAGGAGGATGAGGAGCAGGATTGGAAGAGGAGGAGGAGGAGGTGGAGGAGGAGATGGAGGAGGAGGAGGAGGAGGAGGAGGAGGAGGAGGAGGAGGAGGACCAGTGTAAGCCCAAGAGTTATCACCGATGTTGGAATAAGCCCCCCCTCCAAGCTCCCTCCTCGCAGGCCCCTACAAGGATTCATTTCCATTGACGGAACTGCCTCATTGGAACACAACCGTCCGAAGACCCTGAAGCATGCCAAAAGAGTATTTACGTGACCCCAACGCCACGGATCAACCTGACTGCTGCGTCTTGACGATCTTGACTTCAACTCCGCGAGTCAACGTAGCTGCTGCGCCCCATAATCCTGAATATGTCCCACCATTCCTGGTACGCTGACCCAGGGAATTCGCGCAATTCTTGCCATTTTGAAGTAGGAATATGCGCGGCGCCAGGGCGAGAACCACATGTTGAAAAGAAACCTCCTTCAATCAGTGAAATGTTTGAACAGTTGAAAAATCGAATGCGCGCGGCGCTTAGGCGAGCTCCATATTTTGAAATCGACCCGCCCTCAATCCATGAACCTCCTGCAAGTTACAACAAAACAAAGAAGAATCCATCTTGCGGCTGTGAGGCGAGAGCCACATTTTGGAAACGACCCGCCTTCAATCTGTGACGCCCTAGGGTGTTTCAACGAATGTGCGCGGCGCGAAAGCCCCACTCTCTTAACAACCCGCCCTCAATCCGTCAAGCTCCTACAATTTGTTTCAATGAATGCGCGTGGCGGTAAGGCGAGAACCACATGTTGAAAACGACCCAGCCTCCATGCGCGGAGCTGTTGCCAAAGTATAGGCTTCAGGGTCATAGGTGGTGAGGAAATCTCAGGCGCAACGCTCGGCCCGCCCTAAATATTGGTTTCGGGCTGCGAAGGGATGAACTTAATTATAAGGAGAAGGAGTGGAGGAAATGGAGGAGGAAAAAGAAGATGAGGACGAGGACGAGGACGAGGAGGAGGAGGAGGAGGAGCGGGAGGAGGAGGAGAAAAGGAGGCAGGCGGAGGAGGATGACCAGGAGGAGGAGGAGGAGGAACAGGAGGAGGAGGACGACGACGACGAGGAGGAGGACGAGGAGGAGGAGGAGAGGGGAGGATGAGGAGGACAGGGAGGAGCAAGAGGAGGAAGAGGATTATGTTTTAGTCATTATGTGCCTCAGGCCAGTCCTTGCTTCTCACGGCTGTTACTGCAACTGTTTGTGACTCGAGGGATGTTCCGTGAGCGCAGGGTGCCAGACAAACTTGTCATCATCAAGGGGTTTGGGAGGCCATGGTTTATGCATTGGTAGCGTGAGCGAGGAGTTCACAGCGCCAGAGGCTTGGTGCACATTCACATTTTGTGACCTGCCAGGAGGCATTGGCAGACGACAGACCCGTTCATGAGCACAAGTGCTGACAGCACCACGGACCAGAAGGGGCTTCGGGTCTACAGCACTCGGGTCAGCCACCAGGAGCTCAAGACATTGATCAAGTGGACCAAGTCCGCGATGGCCTGCCGCAAGTTGGAGGCGAACCAGCGAACACCCTTCATCTACACATTGCTGCACGGCTCGGCTCTGGAGATCGTGGACCATTCTGAGTT